ACTTATCCTGTTATTGTGTCTCTTTGTCTGTCTGTCTCTTTGTCTGTCTGTCTTTCTCTCCTGTGTATCTCTGTCTGTCTGTCTTTCTCTCCTGTGTATCTCTGTCTGTCTGTCTTTCTCTCCTGTGTATCTCTGTCTGTCTGTCTTTCTCTCCTGTGTATCTCTGTCTGTCTGTCTTTCTCTCCTGTGTATCTCTGTCTGTCTGTCTTTCTCTCCTGTGTATCTCTGTCTGTCTGTCTTTCTCTCCTGTGTATCTCTGTCTGTCTGTCTTTCTCTCCTGTGTATCTCTGTCTGTCTGTGTATCTCTGTCTGTCTGTCTTTCTCTCCTGTGTATCTGTTTGTTTGCTTGTTTATCTGTCTGCTTTTTCGTTTGTCTGTATGATAGTCTGATTGTCTGTGTTAGTTTGTTTGTGTGTCTTTCTGTTTATCTGTCATTTTGTCTGTCTGTCGTTATGTATGTCTTTATGTCTGTCCATCTGGTTACCTGTTTGTCTGTTTGTCTGTCTGTCTGTCTTGAAACACCACCTTCCCCTGCGTGTGACCACCTGACCTAATCTGACCTGACCTGACCCTTCCTGTTGTACTCGACCACCTACCGTGACGTCACACAGGTAATTAGGTTATATTTGGCATAACTTGTCACGCGTGGCTGACGGACTGACGAACGAACTGACTGACTGACTCACCACTGACTGACTGACTGGCTGACTGACTGACTGACTGACTGGCTGCACTCGACCGTATTCACTTCCAAGCTTAAGTCAGGTACCCACTTCAACCTGGGTCGACTGGGAGTGCCTCAGATAACAAGATGATTACGTTGATGTAGGTGTACCTATAAGTACTTATGTGTACCTGTGGGTAGTACCTCTATGTGTGTACCTATTGGAAATAAACACCTGTGTATACCAGTGGAAAGTACCTGAATGCACCTGTATGAAGGAAATACTTGTATATACCTGTAGAAAGTACCTCTCTATACCTGTATATACCTGTGGAAAGTACCTATCTGAGGGAAGTACCTACCTGGGTTATACCTGTAGAAGAGAAGGTAAAATATCAGCAGGTATTCCCCCCTCGGTCAATATTTCCCCTCCGCCAAAAGCAGCAAAAACGAGAAATGATTGACAGCATAACAGAGCGTGTGGATATAAGCTCGGGCCAGGGATAAAGAAACTCACCCAAGAACCCAGGAGCAATTGTGATGGTGTTTTGGTTCGCTTTCCACCACCCACCCCCACTTCACCGCTTACACCGCCTGCCCACCTGCTCTCTTTCTCACCTACCTACCCGCCCCCTCCCATCCACTTTCCACCTCACTCCAACACTTTCTCTCACCCACCCACTCCTGTCACTTCTCCCCACCCACCTGCTAGCTTATCCACATGCTTACCTACTTACCCACACACTTACACACCCACCTGCTCACTCACCCACCTGCTCACTCACCCATCCGCCCATCCGTTAACCTGCTCACTCACTCACTCACTCACTCACTCACTCACTCACTCACTCACTCACTCACATTATTTGTGAGAACTATGTAATAATAATAATAACAACAACAACAACCACAACCGAGAACAACCACCAACAACAACCACCACCAACAACAACAACGACAACAACAACAACAACAACAACAACAACAACAACAACCACAATACCAACAACAACCACCACCACAACAACAACAACAACCACAACAACAACAACAACAACCACCACCACCACCACCAACAACAACAACAACCACAACAAGATAACCACTTCCCAAGCACCTCATGATAACAAACCCTCAAACGCGTGTATTTTAACCTAACATATTCCCCATCATGCAAGTTGAGACGCCGAGATGATGCCCCTAAGACGCAGGAAAAGAAAACATCTCCTGTGTATAAGCCCCAGGGATCCTATCATCCTTTTTTTTTCACTCCTTGAAGGATTAGGAGTGGCGTCGTTGGCAGCCTGCGTGTAGGATCCCCTCTATATCCTGCGGTTTAAGAGATAGGATATATAACACGGGGTTTACAACTCGGGATTTATAACCCGGGATTTATAACCCGGGATTTATAACTCGGGATTTATAACTCGGGATTTATAACTCGGGATTTATAACTCGGGATTTATAACTCGGGATTTATAACTCGGGATTTATAACTCGGGATTTATAACTCGGGATTTACAACTCGGGATTTACAACTCGGGATTTATAACTCGGTATTTACAACTCGGGATTTATAACCCGGGATTTATAACACGGGGTTTACAACTCGGGATTTATAACCCGGGATTTATAACCCGGGATTTATAACTCGGGATTTATAACTCGGGATTTATAACTCGGGATTTATAACTCGGGATTTATAACTCGGGATTTACAACTCGGGATTTACAACTCGGGATTTATAACTCGGTATTTATAACTCGGGATTTATAACTCGGGATTTATAACTCGGGATTTATAACTCGGGATTTATAACTCGGTATTTATAACTCGGGATTTACTTGGGGTAGAAAAACGAGTGTATTATTCAAGAGAGTGTTTGAGAGTAATAATGTGTATGTACAGTATGTCTTGCGTGTGTGTGTATGTGTGTGTGTCTGCGTGTGTGTGTGTGTGCATGTGTATCTATGTTTTTTAGTTAAAGTCTGTAGGAAATATAAAACCACACACACACACACCCACACACACACGCACACACACACGCACACACACACACACACACACACACACACACACACACACACACACACACACACACATCATTACACACGTGAAAGCTATTAAGTCTTGCATAAACTTGTACAACAGTTCAGTAAGAGCTTAACTGTTTTAGCTGTGCTCTGGGGTTAAATATTTTTTAGCTGTTCCCGGAGTTATGGTTTGGTTATTATTTTAGCTGTGGTCGGTGTTAGCTGTGTAAAATGTGGAGGTTCCATTTAGCTTTGTAGCTGCAGCTGGCCTTTGTTGGAGTAGTGAGGGAGAAGGTGGGAGGGAGAGAAGGAGGGAGGGAGAGGAAGAGGGAGAGGTGAGTATGTAGAGGAAGGAAGAGAGAGAGAGACAAGAGACATCTCCTTATAATTCCTTGTATATATATATATATATATATATATATATATATATATATATATATATATATATATATATATATATATATATATATATATATATATATATACATACATACATCCCTGTTTTCCCATCTCCCTGCATCTCCCTGTATCTCCCTATATCTCCCTGTATCTCCCTATAACTCCCTGTATCTCCCTCCCAACAGTATATAAACAGGGTGCGTATAAGGTCCTCTTACCCTCCCTTCTATATGCACACATGGTGTAGCACAAGGTCAAAGGTCACAGGAGCTATAATACGAGGTCAAGATCACGGTCACAAGGTCAAAGGTCAAACGAGATCATATATATATATAATAAATTCCAGGGACTATTTTATTTTCCTGGCATTTTTATCCTCGGTTGGTTAACGTGATTTTCTTCATATCTCCTTTCCTCCTTCTCTATCTCTCTTATCCTTCTCTATCCTGTTTCTGCTCTTTCTTTATGTCTCTCACATATATCAATTCCATATTTATTATCGACTTCTCCTCTTCCCTTACTAGTTGTGCTTCCTGGTTTTATTTTGTTTCTTCCTTTATTTCTCGTTTCCCCTTTGTGTGTGTGTTTCTTTATTCTCTTTCGTTTTTGGTTTTCTTGTCTATTATTCGTATTTCTCTTCTCACTTTATCTTTCATTTATTTATTTCCTTCTCTTTCTCTTTTTTCTGTTATTGGTATTTCTTCCACTTCCTCTCTTCTTTTTCTTTATTTGTCTTGTATTTCGTTATCAATGTGTGTCTGTCAATTCTCCTTTTATTGATGTTTTGCCTTCTTCCTCCATTCTTATTTTATTCTTGTCTCCGTCTTTCTTCTGTTATTCATTATCCTTCTTCTTTTCTTCTGTTATCGATATTTCTTCATCTTCCTCTTCTATTATTGGCGTTTATTCCTCTTCCCTCTTTTATTATCGCCATTTCCTCCTCCTCCCTCTTCTATTATCGCCATTCCCTTCTCCCTCTTGTATTATCGTCATTTCCTCCTCTTCCCCTTCTATTATCGGCGTTTCCTCCTCTTCCCCCTTCTATTATCGGCGTTTTCTCCTCCTCCCCTGTTCGTTATTTATGTCTGAGATCCACTTGCATGTTGCCTCTTCCACCTTCTCATTATCGGCCCACGTGTTCACCCCTTTCATTACCTCTGACCTGTTTCCTCGAATTATCACGCGTTACCTGTGTGAAGGTCGCCAGGTAAGGGGAGGAGAGGAAGGGGGAGGGAAGGGTAAGGAGGGGGAAGGAAGGGTAAGGAGGGGAAGGGAGGGTGAGTAGGGAAGGGAGGGATAGAAAGAAGATTGAAGGGGAGATGTAGAGGTAAGGGAGGATGGAAGGGGAGGAGGAAGGAAGGAAGGGAGAGAAGGAAGGAAGGAAGGAAGGAGGAGAAGGAAGGAAGGAAGGGAATAGAATGGAAGGAAAGGGAGGGAAGGGAATTAGGTGAAGGGAACTAAACGGGTCACGGAGTGTAGTGTTGGTGAGGAGAATAAATTTCACTCTACACACACACACACACACACACACACAAACACACACACACACACACACACACACACACACACACACACACACACACACACACACACACACACACACACACACACACACACACACACACACACACACACACACACACACACACACACACACACACACACACACACACACACACACACACACACACACACACACACACACACACACACCTACATGGAACGACCATTTTAAACGTCCACTAAAATGTTCTTTTAAACCCTGACGTTAAACCCAAGTTATGGTAACATGAACGACTATTCTCCCTTAAAACAGGTGAATAATGTTCCCTTTAACCCCAGTCTTAACCTCCCTCATGCCTTCCTCCGTCCTTACCTGCAATAATACTAGTTCATTTTGTATTATGGAGCGAGGTATGATGGGGTGTGTGTGTGTATGTCTGTGTGTGTGTATATGTATGTCTGTGTGTGTGTATGTATGTGTCTGTGTGTGTGTGTGGGTAGTTAGCCATGTAGCCAATTAACCCTGAGTACCTACCTGTAAACACGGATTACATCACAGTGTTTACCTGGCCTTGTCATCATTAATTTTTATATACTATGTCGCGGCCAATGACCTTATCTTCTTAAAGGTAGAGTCTCTCTTAACCAGTCATGTGTTGTGTTACAGGGGAAGGCGCGTTAGGAGTGAGGAATTGCCTGCTGGCCCGTCAGTTGTGTGCAGACGATCTCTCCTGCAGAAGTGTTCTCGAGATCATCCCCCGAGTCTGTGGCCCTGAGAGTGGTGAGTACTGCCTCCTCCTTATTGGGGACAGGTACAGGTGTGTGGGATAATTACAGGTGTGTGGAATAAGGTCAGGTGTGTGTGTATGTGGGGTAGTTGGGTAAGGTTATGTATAATTTAGGATATGGTTTGGTTAAGGTAAGGAAAGGTTAAGGGCAAGTTAGGTTAAAGTGAAGTTAAGATAAAATAATGTTAATTTAGGTTATGGTAAAGTTAGGTTAGGGTAAGACAGGATAGATTAGGTTAAGGTAAGATTAGGTTAGGTTAAGGTAGGTTAGGTTAGGTTAGGTTTAGGTTAAGGTTAAGACAGAGCGAGGAAGAACCATAACTATCCCTCATCATTAGGGAGTTAATGACCGTCAGCTCCGGGTTAATTAATTTAAAGTTATTTGGTTTCTTAATGGCGGAAATAATTCATACTGATTTATAGTTGTGTGTGTGTGTGTGTGTGTGTCTTTACCAAACACACACACACACACACACACACACACACACACACACACACACACACACACACACACACACACACACACACACACACACGCACACATCTCAGGTCAGGAAATCGATAAAGTGAAGTGGAAATTAATCTCTGGCAACTGACTTTTCTGCCTGATTAGAAAGAGAGAGAGAGAGAGAGAGAGAGAGAGAGAGAGAGAGAGAGAGAGAGAGCCGAGTCAGCTCACCGGTACGACTACCTGCCTGATTAAGGCCAACCTGACACCTGCGTTAGCCTTTGTATTACTGTGTGGTGGAGGGAAGGAGGGAGGGAGGGGGGAAGGAGGACAGAGGCAGGTATGAGTTGGTAGAGGAGGAGGTGAGGGAGGAGAATGGAAGGGAAGGTGAGAAGATGGGGAGAAAGAGAGGAGGGAAGGTGGGAGGAAAGGGTATGAAGAGGAAGAGAGAGATTGGGGAAATAGGAGGGATTATAAGAAGGAGGAGGAAGTAAGGGGTATGAATCAGGAGGGAGAGGGGAAAGAATGTGTGAGTGATGGAGGGAAGGAGGGAGAGGTCAGAGGGGCGAGAGTAAAGAGGGAAAATGGAAAGGAAAGAGCAAGAGATATACACAGAGGTAAATATACATATACATCTTTATACACATACACACATATATACACAGAAACTATCCAGAGTATGTCTTCATATATACGGATATACACAAATATACGAAACAGCACGGGGATATTTCTTTAGGCATACACACACAGACAGACACACACACACACACACACACACACACACACACATAAAAGAGGAAAAAAAAATATCCCTGAAAAAAAAGGTTCAATTCTTGTCATGTTTACGTCTGGTTGAGGGTGAGCCAACTCCCACCTGTGTTTACCCGCGCAGCTCCACCGCCCTAGCTGTTTGCAGGAGCCCACACTACACACCCTCCCTTGACACCCCCCATACTATTATCTCTCACTGTCTCACTCTCTCATTCTCTTTATTCGTCAGATCAAAGGCGTACGTGATAATTCTCTATTTTTTTCTCTACTGATGGTATCTTTGTAGAGTAAAAAAAAGAGAGAAGTATGGAAAAATAATAGTCAGGTGTTGTTAAGAGTCCTGGGTATTGAGAGGGACATCACCATCATCCCGTGTGAGTGGAGGAACCCTGGCTCTCTGTGTTGACATTCTCAGGTGGCGTTCTCAAAGGTGTGTCTGTGATATTTACGCCTTAACTGGTGAAAAGAACGTTATAACTGGTGATATGAACGCCTGTAACTGGTGAAAAGAACGCTATAACTGGTGATAAGAACGCCTGTAACTAGTGAAAAGAACCCATATAACTGGTAATAAGAACGCCTGTAACCGGTGAAAAGAACGCACGTAACTGGTGAAAAAATCCCATTACTGGTGAAACTATTGCTCATAACTGGTGATAAGTCGTAACTGATGACATAATGCATTTAACTGGTAAGTACGCATATAACTGGTGATATTAGAACGTATATATACAGTATATATATATAACTACCATAACCTCTACCCTACCATGAAACTCCCATTAACACAACTACCATACATACCCATTAATATCTCTACCATAAATACCACTACTACCATAAACCTCACTACCATAAATAGCGCTACCATGAAGTCCCCGCCACAGGCACGTCTCAGAGGGCCCCTGACACGTCATAGATTTCCGATCATAATGACATACTGAGGCTATTTATAACCCTTTCTTACCCCGACCAGAGTAAACTGTTAGCTGTTTTATGATGTAAATTGTGTGCCCGTAGTGTTAGGTTAGGTTAGGATAGGTTAGGTTAGGTTAGTGTTAGGTTAGGTTAGGTTAGGTTAGTGTTAGGTTAGTGTTAGGTTAGTGTTAGTGTTAGGTTTGGTTAGGTTAGGTTGGGGAAGGAAACTGAAAGGGATGATGTAGACACGTAGGCATTTAAGAAGAGAGAGAAAGAGAGAATGTAACTGGAGAGAGAGAAAAAATGCAAGTGAGAGAGAAAGAGAGAGAGAGAGAGAGACAGAGAGTTGACAAGACGTATTGTCATTATTTATTAAGGCCACACATATTTATGATCATCTAACTCTATCATTACCTACAACACCACCTGACCTCTCACCTTCACCTTGACCTTTGTCTTCTGACTTACATTATCTCTAGTAACCTAACCTAACCTAACCAAGCATGACCTAAGCTAGCATAATCTATCCTTACTCTAACCTAATTCTTTCATCACATCTACACCGGGCGCTCATTGGCTGTCCTGTTTCATGAAGGTAGTAAAATACTGCGTGTGATTGGCCAGTGCATTGCTTGTCTTATTGGCTGTCTGCTGACCTAAAGGACCAATCATGGTGTGTGTCGTGTTTGCGGATAAGTTGTGACTGACACATCCGCGCGCACACACACCCACACACACACGCACACACCCACACACATGCATACACCCACACAGTCTCTCTCTCTCTCTCTCTCTCTCTCTCATAGTTTAACTTCACCTTCCTTCACCTAACCTAACCTAACCTAACCTAACCTAACCTAACCTAATCTATCCTAACCTCACCTCACCTCACCTCTATAGGATCGATATTTAGCACCATCAGGGAAGTCATTAGACCCGGGTCATATAGTGAGTAAATAAACATGATTATAGCCTTGTCCAGCTCCAGTCAATGTTACAATTTGTGATGTAAATAAAACTGGTGATAAAGCTGGACAAATTCTTTTACTGCGCCACAATACTGACTGAGACTCCATAATCCTGACGCCTTTACCACATTCCTTCGCTGTTATATGTTAAAAGACGCCATAATCCTGACGCCTTTACCGCATTCCTTCGCTGTTACACAATGTTAATAGACGCCATAATTACTGACGCCTTTACCGCATTCCTTCGCTATGTCACAATGTTAAAAGACGCCATAATTACTGACGCCTTTACCGCATTCCTTCGCTATGTCACAATGTTAATAGACGCCATAATTACTGACGCCTTTACCACATTCCTTCGCTGTTACACGATGTTAAAAGACGCCATAATTACTGACGCCTTTACCGCATTCCTTCGCTGTTACACGATGTTAAAAGACGCTATAATTACTGACGCCTTTACCGCATTCCTTCGCTATGTCACAATGTTAAAAGACGCCATAATTCCTGACGCCTTTACCGCATTCCTTACGCCATGCCAATATTGACTCAGAACGCTATGTTCTGACGCCTTTACCACAATTTCTCGATTACTAACCACATCTAAGATCATGTAGTGATATAAGCACACACTCGTTAGGTTAAAGTTCGTCAGTATTTTCCCGTGTTTACAGTTTCTGACGGACCGACGCACAGACGGACACAGACAATAACACTCAAAGATCATTCATACTTGAGGTTGAGTACTGTTGTTTTGGTTACAGTTCATTGTTATTTGCATGGGGTTATGGTATTTGTAAATAGCTTAACGTTTGACGGACACATGGGCGATAGGTCACACACTAATGACAGTAAGTGAAAGATTATTGAACTCTTAGTGTGATATATTGTCCACATACCAAGTTAGGGTTATTATCCATTATTGGGTTGACAATTCTGTGGGATCGACGGACGCACACGATAAATTATAGTTATCGTACGTTTGGCACCTCGTGAAGTACAAACAATGAAGTTATCGTACGTCTGGCGTCTCGTGACGTACAAACAATGAAGCATCGTACGTCTGGCGCCTCGTGACGTACAAACAATAAAGTTATCGTACGTTTGGTGCCTCGTGACGTACAAACAAGTTATCGTACGTTTGGCGCCTGTGACGTACAAAACAATAAAGTTATCGTACGTCTGGCGCCTCGTAGGGCTAAACAATGAAGAGTCAGACGTCTGGCGCCCGTGACGTACAAACAACAGTTATCGTACGTCTGGCGCCTCGTGAAGTACAAACAATGAAGTTATCGTACGTCTGGCGCCTCGTGACGTACAAACAATAAAGTTATCGTACTTCTGGTGCCTCGTGACGTACAAACAATGAAGTTATCGTACGTCTGGCGCCTCGTGAAGTACAAACAATAAAGTCATCGTACATCAGGAGAGCCTCTTGACGTACCAACAATACACTTTTAGCGTCAACGTGAACAGAATTTTATGATGGCAAGTTGAAGTTTATGACACTGTGAGCTGAACTGCTACACCTACCTGGCGTCATTCACCTGTTGGCTGTAACCTTAAGATTCACGATCTGTAATGTCGTAAATCACACTCCATTTTCCCCGCCATTTTGTGTCCACATTCCCAAAAGTTCCTTCCATGAATATTTATCGTAAATTAAGATATAAGAATGTAACTAACTGGTTGACTTAAGATAAAATACTGAAATAGCTGGAGTATTACACTGAGACTTTACCTTAACTAGATACGTTCACTTAGCACCACTTAGGAGACTAGTTAAGGTAGAGTCTCAGCGTTTATTTTGTCTCCGATTTGGTGTTAAACAAACGTACCCGAACTTTTATGTAACTCGGAATCAGTGAACGTACCCGTATGCTTA